TAATATAATATAGAACAATTAAAAATAAATTTTCACTTTATTTCAAAACGAAATCAAATCTAAACTATGTTGGTACCGTGTCTGTGTCACCCCAAGTCGTCATCTCGCATCATCTTCCCTTCATCATCTAAAAATGGGGAGGGATAATGTGGGATGAGCTAACGCTCAGTAAGCAAACCTCATGCATATGATGCATGCTCATGATATGCATATGTATTACTTTAAAATAGAAACATTTCTCATTATGTATTCTCATTCTTTCATTTCTTTAAAAACGTAAACATTGGTGTTGTGAGCTCACTTGATTTATCGCCTATATAGTCAATCAGAATGTAGCGGACAATTATTATTTGGGACCTGGTCGAGTCCTACTAGTAGTACCGCAAAGCGATTAACGTTAACATTAACAATCATCATTCAATCGCAAAACGGTTAACATTAACATTGAACATTCATCATTGAACATTGGTCAGGTGCGCCGGTCCCCCACGTCCCATTTCCCATTCACACCTTCATGGCATACACATACATCTCGTAACAAAAACATTCGGGATACATAACTTTAAACGTTCATTCATGACATTTGGAAATCATTTATTGCTTAAAACTTCATGTATGCATGTGGATGCATAGATGCGCATGATTATGAATGAAACATTCATGACATAAAATGTCATAATTAAACATCATGTTCACATAAGAACAATTCAAATAGCACGTTTATACATTTAATCATATCACATGCCATGAAGACAAGGGGAGGTTTACTTACCTGGAATCCTTAGCAATTTCATTTTATAGTGGATAGTAGAGATGTCCCTAGCCGCCCACAAAATCTACGTGCTGATTATCATAGGTCGTTACCAATGATTTAAAATTTCAGTAATATACATTATTGCCAATCAATCTTTATTCTATTATGATAAACTACCGAATATGTAAAATAAAAAAGTGCTCACAATCATATAAAGATTCAAAATTGGAATTTATGGTCGAAATCACTTTTGACCCATAAAGATACTACTATTTATTATTATTATTATTATTTGTTAGAAAGTAATTATGCTGTTACTGTACTAACGAAGGGATGTCAATCTAGAGGCAAAGTGAACATACATAATGCAATGATATGAACTCATAGGGTGTTTAATCCAAAGAATAATGCAAACTCAGAATATCAATGGTTGAAGCTAGATTTTTAATAAAGAAACTAAGTGCCCCTTTCCGTTCTCCTTTCTCAATTGATATGACAACTAACTTATAAGTTTCATAACTCAAACGGAGAGAAGGCAGAAAGTGGGTGAAAATTAAATAATAAATTTACCGGTAAATGTGAATTATAGTTTTTGAAGAAGAACATGCTTTGATTACAAACAATAGTACTTTGTTTATATTTTCACATGAATAAAACTCAAACTCATTTAACCATTCATTTGGAGAATAAATGTCTAGGCTTTAATTGCTTGGAATCTGAGAAACCAACAGGAAAACAAGTTAAAATTTGTAACCCATATATGGGGCTCCGCGTCATTTTGACAGGAATGGGTAAATGATGTTTTATTTCCTTTAAAAAGTGAGTTAAAATTTCTAATTCTAATCCTAGAGCAT